GAAACTGCAGCGGACACCGAGGGGTGAGAAACCGGGGCGGCGGTGGCGTGCAGCGAAGGGGAGGTAGCTAGTTTTCAGGTCTTGGGCAGCCGGCACGGCTGGGCAGTGCAGTGGGGTACCTTGCGAGGCTGCCGGGAGCAAGGGGATGCTTCAGGTACAAAAGTCATCACTTGGCAACAGAGGTGCTGATGCATGCAGAATGATAAGTTGGTTGTTCATCTTTTTATACATTGCTATTTTGTAAAGGAAAATGAAACACATAGACTACTCTAGTGGCCTGTTGCCCTTCCAGACACAGTTGGCAGTTGATTAACATTGTTTCTTCACTGCATTTGTTCTTCTCGAAGGAAATTCCAGTGATTCAGAAGAGGAAGACCGGAGTACCAGCAGCATAGAAAATCAGGCCATCCCAAACTCTCACAGGGTACCAGATTCCAAATTGCATTCACCGCACATCAAAATAGATATCATCAGGAAAGTGCAAGCCAAAAATACGCAGCGCTATAAAGTGGAATATGATTCGCAGAGCACAGATACACTGAATTTCTCTTCTGAATCCAAACAAGAGACTGAATATGTAAGTAGATTTGTGAATGGAAAGGCATTTCCTAGCGAGTATGCGTGTGCATCTATATGTATATGCATGTTGTGAATATGACAAGATAAATAAATAAACAAACAAACTAACTGAATGGTGGTAATTGTTGTAGCCATTTAGGACATTCTGTTGTTTAACTGGTAGGTGAAACTGTTGGATCTGCAAGTGCAGACAATCAGCAGACCAAGCAGATCATGTTTGGAAAACACAGAGGCCTAACACAACGACATTTACATTGATACAAGTATGGTTTTCACTAAGTTGTTTCTTAGAGATCAAAAGTTCTTGTTCCTCCCTGTAATTACCATACTTTTGTGTGAGTGGACTTGGGACAGGTTTGATAGTGTCATCATTAAATTTGGTTGCAAACAGCATTATTGGATTGCAATAATGGTAAAAAAGATGTTTCAGAGTCAGTGTAGTGGCACTGTGTTCACACTCCATGGTGCAAATCAAGGGAGATAAACTTAGGCTAGGTTGAAGGATTAGGATCTTGACTGATCAGTTATTGTTTGTATGACATGCTGAATACTGCCTCCACTTCCAGTCGTTGTTTGCTGCCGCTGCCTAAATGCAAAGGTTCACGGGCACACAACTTGCCATTGCTTCCTACTGACTGTGCCTAATGGATTTGTAGGGCAGCCAGAGTGTGGTGAATTTGACGGGAGAATAATTCCTCTTCCTGGACATCCTGGCTGATATCCTGGTGGTTATCCTGTGCCTGATCCAGATGGCCTAAAAAATATGTCTGGATGTACTCTGGCATTTCAAAACAGTCGTTGTGAATCCAGAAGTGGCTTCCCATCTGCAAAAGAAGGTTTTGAAACCTGTATGAGGTGAAAAGTTGTGTCTGAAGAGAGTGTGGCCTCAAAGTTAACACAGCAAGCTGCATGTTTAGTTTGTCTCTGATGTCCAGCCACCTAGTAAAAACACTTCAGTATCTTCCAGCATGTCCTCCTCCCAAAAACATGAAGTAAACTGCCTACAATAAAAGAATGAGTTTTGGTAGTTCTGAGGAAATAAGGTCCTGGTCTTAACTAGGATGAACATGTCACTTACGTGGTAGTTGGGCCCCATGAGCAAAGCCACACCGACTTACCAAGGCTGCTGGTGTCTGTAAGAAGCAGCAATAAGTCCGTACAGGACAGGTACCTTTGTCAGCAGAGGCCATTCTAGCTGTGTCTGCATGTTAGCTTTTGATATTTATCTCTGTGACTTTGGAAGCCTGCTTCAAAATAATAATTAGGAAAAAGCTGTTGATCTTTTTGTAGGCCTAACTTAAGACCAAATCTTTGAGCATGTGGGATTTATAATCAGCATGTCTGAGCAGTTTCAGTTTTTAAGGAACTGCCAATAAAAGCAACAATTAAAAGCATGTATTTTGAGCTTGTGAGATTGATACTGAAAGAAAACATATGAAAGCAGCAAGGAGGGTCTTTGCTAACCAAAAAATCAATTTTAAACTCCAGTAGAACTGTAGAGTCTGTGTGCTTTCAGACACTCACATGAAAGGCACTTTACATGAACAAAATAATATTACCACTTGAAAGTATAAATGTCATTACTTCACTAATTAAAAATTGTACCAAATGACTCTTTGTGTTGATACAACAACGTAAGTGTTTTAAACCCATGCAGCAGTGCAAAAGAATTTTTTTGGGTCTCCGCTGAAGCAGTGGGCTGGTGGACCGAGTCAGTAATGTGCCCAGACAGGAGTGTAGCTAATTAGCACAGTTTGTAGGCTGTGACTTTTGAATCCCAATCCCACTGCGGACACTGACTGCCTTCTTGGCCTCTGGCAAAATGTGAAGTCCTCCGCTCCTGGTTTTCAGCTTGCAAAGTGGGGCTTGTAATTCTTTACTCCCTACCCTTAAGGGCTGCAGTGAGAAATAATTAGTTGGTGTTTGAGACATGCTCTTAAAAGTGCTTCTGGAAGTTCTTTTTGGCTCGTTGTCCTAGAGCTAATCCTCACTACATTGTTGTCAGCCTTTTGCAGATGGAGAAGGTGAAGCAAAAAGTGACATAGTTGTCTAATGAGAATGTTGTGTGCAACCATTCCTTTACATGGCTGCATCCATTTGGTCCAGTTGAAATAGGGAATTGTTGTCCAAAGTTCCAGTATTTTTATATATACATACACATTATGTCAAACTACTGTTTTTTAATTAAATCCATTCCATTCAAGCTTTCAAATCCAGCAGAATCACAAAAATCAAATGGCATTAGGGAAAATCTACCCAAGTGGTGCATTTCCAGTTGCCTACCTTTTTCTTTTGAGAGTTGGGGTTGTTCAGCCTGGAGGAGAGAAAGCTGTTAGGAGACCTAATTGTAGCCTTCCAGTACCTGAAGGGGGCCTACAAGAAAGCTGGAGAGGGACTTTTTACAAGGGCATGTAGCAATAGGGCAAGGGGTAATGGCTGAAAGAGGGTAGATTTAGATGAGAGAGAAGGAAGAAATTCTTCACTATGAGGGTGGTGAGGCACTGGAGTAAGTTGCCAAAAGAAGTTGTGGATGCCCTGTCCCTGGAAGTGTTCAAGACCGGGTTGCATGGGTCTTTGAGCAACCTGGTCTAGTGGAAGGTGTCCCTGCCCATGGCAGGGGGGTGGAACTAGATGATCTTTAAGGTCTCTTCCAACCCAAACCATTCTATGATTCTTTTCCCACTTGATACAAGGCCAGTTTTTCTAAACCCAAATTATGTTATATATGATTGCTTTACGTACTGGTTAAGCCTTCCTGTAGGTATATGTGGCTGTGATTTCCACTGGAAGTGCCAGTCTGTGCCTCGGCATGGCATAGGGCCTTCAGTGTTTAGGAATCTGTTTGTCCTGAATGAAGCAGAAAGTCATAATTTTATCCGTGAATTGTCTATCTTTCGACATATCCAGCATCCCTTTGTTTTAATGGCTTTGTTTGGGTTTGTGTTTCTTGCCCTTTAAAGATTTATTAACTCTTGTGTGAAAGACAGCATTTGTGAATGAAGTTTCATTTGTGTTTTCTAACAGGGTCCCTGTCGTAGAGAAATGGAAGACACTTTAAACCACCTAAAGATCCTGAATGTCTTGAGTCCCAGGGGTTTTCATATTCCAAATTGTGACAAGAAGGGTTTCTACAAGAAAAAGCAAGTAAGTACGGAGTCTTGATCATTTCAATGAATGCACTTCACCTTTTCTGAATCTTTGCTGAAGGATCCTGCCAGCAAGGTGCATTACGTATCATTTTGCAGAGGAACTAGTTAATTACCAGTTTTGGGACCTGACCTGATAGTGCTGAACCTTGTCAAGTGGGGACAGTGTTTTTATTTTCTGTTGATCATGACAACAGATTCATTCGAGAATCTTCATACCTAATCACACATGCGTTGGCTGGTGTCCTAGGTACTAATGCCCTTTGGTTTAAAAAAAGCAGTGTCTCTGTGATAACCCACGGAGCTAAATATTGCAGTCACCATATGACTGTAATAGATCAACGCTTTGAATTGTAAATAGCTGCTTGAGAGTTCCTAGAAGAACTGCACTGGATCATATTACAAAAAGCAACTTGAGAAAGACATATATCTGTCCTTTATGTGCTACACAGATCACTTCCAAAATCCAGGTCATGTTATCATGAAAGTGATACATCTAATAGTTACTCTGCAGCAAGGATGGCTTCTCAGCCTTCTTTGGTTCTGGGGTTGTGACCTTTCTTGACAAATGCAGACCTAAACTGCAGGTATTTATGCTTTTTTTGCGTTGGGTTGAGCTATGGCAGCATTCTCCATTCAGTGCTGCCCTTGAAGCTCATTCAGGAACTTGGGGAAGTGCAAGACGTTCCAGGTTCTTTGCTTGGTGGGCACCCCATCTAATTCCAGTGTTTAGTTAGTGACCTGCCTCCAAATGTGCTTCTTGATATAATTCCAAAATTTCCTGCATTCAAAAGTTTCTTTAAGATTTTCCTCAAGGCAAACCCTCTGTAAGGCCAGATTTTATTTGTGGACCCTCTTGTCTCTCCCATTTGGGTTTACACAAGTCAGCCTCTTTCTCTGGTAGCTAAAGGAGCGGCTGACTCTGTTACTAGCTAATGCAGTTCATTGATTGGAAGTGAGAGGCCAACCTCTGACCAGGCAACCTTATTTTAGGAATGATATCTCTCCATTTTTTGGCTTCCAGCTTCCTTAGAAATAGTCTTTCCCTTTCGGGTATTCCCTGGAGCTCTGCGTTAAGCTGGCAGTGTCAGGTGGGGCGTCTGCCGTAAGGGCGAATTTTCCAGCCTTCCCTTCTGCCATCAGCCCAGCGCTGACTACACGCTACACTGTTTGACCTTCAGTGTATGCTGCTGAGCTTGTCTACATTTCCCAGCTTTTCCCAAGCAGGTGGTAGCAACTCCCGAGCAAGGACGGTTTCTTTTTGTCGTCTGGAGTTCTGAGAAGCCTGTGTCATTCATGTCCTGCTACGTGTAACCTAGGAGAGAGCAATGCTCACACCTCAGTCTGCATTTGTTCAGAAAATAGGTCCGACTGCTATGTGGAGTGCGGCTAGGACTGTGTTTTGTGCCTGTGACATAAAAGCATTTGCTTAGCTGCTCCAGAACAGTACATCATTTAACTGCATTCGGGGCACGCAAGCGTACTGTAGGCCCTTTCCTTTTCTAGGTATTACAGAAGACCACAGATTGGTATTTACTTTGTTCAGTAGATCTTCCTTCCATCTGTCTTCAGACTCTGAGGTTTTTGCTTTGTCAGCAAAAAGGTGTTGGTTTGCACACAGTCTCTGGCACGTGTATGTAGTAAATTAGATCCACAGTAAGCACATATTGGAGTGCCTTACTTTAAAGGATGACTACACTTTAAAGTGCAGTCATAGTTCTGCCACTGAGGCATAAAAAAAGGAAATGTGGAGGAAAAAAATAGGAGACATAAAATATACTTACTTAGTCTTTGTTCCTAGAAGTTGATTTACAATAAGGTGTTCGTACAGAGCAAAGACACACTTCTGCCCTCTGTGTAGTGTCCATGCTGCCTGAAGACTTTCAAACTGCCTTAGGAAAGGTTCCTGCACTATGTGCAATAGCCAATCCGGACAGCAGACATAGAGGACGAAGGGATGCTTTCATAGCTGGCCAGCCTTATCAAGTGCCATGCCAATCTACACAAGTCCCAGTAGTTTTAATTGTAGCTTGAGACAGCTCAGGATCCTGTACGAGATGCCTGCACATGGAGCCCCTGTGAGTAAACATTCTACATGAAATGCAGCCAGAGTGCATCTCCTGTAAATGAACCTCAATCAACCCTGGGAACACAGGCCTTCACAGGTGGGGCTTACAGAGGCAGGCTGCTTCTCACATGAACAAAATACAAACCGAAAGTAATGTTTGCAACAATTTGAGTTGTCCTTGTTGAATTAACTCCTAGAAAAAAGCAGCACTTTGAGAAGTGAGTGAGTCTTATCCAGACTTAATTCACTGTCTGCAAGGCAATGTGACAATTGTGTTTGGTTGGTTTTTGGAGCATCAACATGTAGGTGTGATATTTTAGGCACTGTGAGCAGGTGTCTAATCTCTTTAACAGAATGCTAGGCTATTTTACTAATTTCCTTCATTGCTATTATTAGCAGCATTCAATCTGTAATTCAATTATATTCTGTTGTGACAACAAAATTAATAATAATAATAATAATAATAATAATAGGTTAGGAAATGGACAGCAAATCCATCAAAAAATTAGTGTGAGCTAATTTAATTCTGGAAACAGCTGCCAAAACCACTGCCTAGGATGATAATATGGTTAGATGTGTGATGGTAGTAATCTAATAAATTATCACCACTCTGAAAACCACTAGAACTCATTCAGAAGGCACTTCATATGTTATGAACATATTCTGCCTTCCTGGTCACCTCTTCCCATCAAGTTGAAAGCAGTTATTTTTCAAGACATTTGTCGGTATTTAGAAATTGAGTTTTCAGGAGCAACCATCGGGAGTAATCTTCATATGTGAAACAATTTTAAGAACATAAATTTATCTGTCAAGGTATAACATGAAAAGAATTTCACACCTTGTGTATATATAAACTTTTTAAAAATCACACCTATTAAAATTCAGAATTCTTTGTCTTAATAAATCACACATGCAAGGTTGTACTACTCAACTGTGGTATACAGGCATATTTATGTGGAATAGCTTGATACAGGCACGTTTCTGCCTCAAGCATGGAAAAAAAGGTTTTGATGAAATTAGAATTATTATATGGGGCAATTCTAGTAATTGCAATTCTAGTAATTGCCCCATATTTGTATGCTGGAGCCAGATACTCACCTAAATGTGAGCTGGCATCGTTCCACTGAAAACAGAGCTGGGCTTGGCAGGAGCCAAAACGGCCCGAGGTATATGTCAATGTTGTCTGCAGTCTGTTCCAGGAGACCACAAGTTGTAGCTCCACAGAGACCTCTAGGCTGACCAGGAATTCAATGGGATACCATATGCTTTGCTATGCTTCACGAATGCCTCTGCGGCACTTCTTTGTGGAAGGGAGAGGGGCAGGTGGCATGGAAGCTGGCAGCTGGTGTTTCTATCAGAAGTAATTATTGGCTCCACCGCTTGGGCAGTTTTCCAGCTTTTTGGACTTCTGAAGTCATACAGAAGAGCTGGGCAGAGACTTGAAATGTATGTGGAGTACAAAATTCAGAAGAGCAGAATTTTACCCACCCCATCCCCCCATATGAACTGTCCACCACTTCTGTGGGGAATGCAAGCTAGCTGCTTCAAGATAAAAGCATCACTTTTGAATGAGAATTGCTTTACTATTGACAGCGTGGCTGAGCAGGTAGTACAAAATCGCAGATTGGAAAAGGTAAATTGTTTCCTCACAGAGTGTTATTTCAGCTGTAAAATGATCTAAGTGTTTCGTTTTCCAAACGGGCTGTCTAGAAAAAATAAAAAAAAATATTAGTAGTAGGGAAGGTGTTCCTGCAGATTAACTTCATATTGTAGTTAATTCCGAAAATTGATTATGCAACTGTAAAAAGCAATTAAAACTTCCAACAGCATGAGATAACTTTAATTGATCATTTGTTTTGAGAGTGATGCAAGCCTATGAATCAGCGAGAGTTGTGCAACGTACTTCATATAGTACTTCTAAAAGGGGAGGCAGTGTTACTATTATTAGCAAAACTGTAGTTTCATTGCCGGAGCAGCAGGCTGGCAGCCAAAAGCCCTGTGCTCTAATCTGGGCTCCATCTGTGCCTGTTCTCCTGGGAAAAACAACTCAAGAACTGTTGCCTCAGTTTCCTTTTCTGTAAAATTTAAGTTGTGCAAAGGCTGTTGTTTATTAATCTCTCAGTTTTGAGCATGAACAATTTAAGTCACTAAATGTTAATACCACTTAAGCTAGAGTCCAGTCCAGTTGCCACGAAAATTGAAGGAAAATTTCCCACTGATGTTGCTGGACTTTGAGCAGCCATTCACGGAAATCCTGGAGAATACGTGCAAGCCTTAGTCAGGCTTTCGAGACAATATATGCTTGTAAAACTTATGTTTAAAGATTAGTACAGCAAACCAGTTGAACAGGTAACTAGAACTCAAATGCAGCTAACCACATAGTTTAACAAATTATTGATGTAGCCCTTCTCTCAGTAGGTTTGAACATTTTCACCCTCTACTAAAATAAGCTGGTATGTACTTTAAGCTTGATACTGTCATCCTGCTGCCATCCATTTGCATAGGGCTAATGCAGAAGCACCGCAAATTCAGAACAGGGAAGGCATTGTATTATTTCTGCGTTGGGCTTTTTACTCAAAAATGTATCACAAGAGTAGATTAATTTGCAATTATGATGATTAACATTACTTCATTTACTCTAAAATAAACAAGAGAGAAACTTGTTCAGAAATTTGTGTCTAATGTGTGATCTGCTCCCATCTCTTTCACGTTCCTAGTGAGGACTGTCTACTGTACTTCATGCTGCCACAAATTAGTTGGCTCAGGGGCTAATCTGCTGGTGCAGGCGGTCCCAGGAGTGACCCATATTCACATTCTGTCCAAAATACCACCCTTTTGCCTGAGGTCCTAAACTAGATGTGGAAAGGGTTGGGCAGCATGTGAAGCCCAACACTTGCTTGATGTTTCCTTGTGTACCTACACATGGGAAGGACACTTAGCTTTGTGAGCTGTTGCCATATCCACATGGGAGATGGGGACATGCCTGGTAGACTCTGGAGAACAAACTGTTGAGCAGTAGTGGCAAAGTTTGCCTGACTTGTACCAGCCTGAGCTTCTACAATACTTGAACTGCTGTGAGTGTGATCTCAGAGGTAGCATTTGCTCTGCTTGCGTGATAGCCTTTACAGTGCTGAGAGCCTTAAGTGGCTTCAGTGTAGCCTGTCTTCCCTCATGTTGGCAATGCAACAGATGAAACCTCAGTCTTAGATAAGCTAGGTATATTTGTGTTACCACATTTGTGTCACCACTTCCTTTGTATGTCCGTCTTGACTAAACAGCCACCTTTTAGCAATTGTAGCGAATCCTGTATCACCAAATCTCAAAACTTGAGCTGACATGGAGGCTATGTGTTGGCAATGAGGTTGACCATGGCAAACCTAGTGAGAAAATCTGTATCCTGGAGACGCATGTCTTCCAAGTGGGTGAAAACCTTGCAGGGTCCCAGAGGTTCACAGCATGTAACTGTGTCCAGGGTTGCATACTGAATACAACCTGCATCAAGTCTTTAGTCTAGTTTTTACCATTCTTGGTTCCTTGGGGAGAGCATTACTTAATACAGACTAGACTTTGTAATGCATTTTTACTGCATTACTGTTTCTAAAGAAGTTCAGTGTCATTGCCTGTCTAGTGGTAGTTTTGGGTTGGTCAGCATTGCTGACAAATTCCACCAGGCAACTTCTAAAGTTGACGTAGGTTATAGACTGATACATAAGCAATCTTATTTATAGGAAAATATACAAAGTTTTAGTACACCTAGCAGTTGTTGAAGTGATGACTCCATTACAGAAGGATTATGTATCTGTTAATAAATGTCAGCTACAGTATTGAAATTCCTCCAGCAAACAGATGCAAGCCAAGGGTGTTTACTGCTGCAATGGCTGTCTTTGCCAGACCCGCGCTTTAGCGTAGAACAGATCTGTTAACTTTCTTTTCCACACGTGGGTCCCAGTCATCAGCCTGTACTGTTGTAAGTAGTCCTGATGTTCAAAGGGGGCAGCTGTGCTGCCTGATATAATAGGGAGTAGTTCATAAGGCTATTTTCTGGTAGTTCTCAGAGCAGTTTTATTATGAAGTAATTAGACCCAAAGGGGTTGACAGGCAGAGGAGATAAGCTTTTATTGTAATACTTTGTAGTGGTAATAAATACTCTGTTTGATTCTGTCAGATATGGCCAGGATATGGAAGTGCAGCTATCAAATGAATAGGAATCCCTGCTATGTAACACGATCAGTAGAGAAAACAAAAATAATGCTAAATGGGTGTTTTATTCTGTTTCAGTGTCGACCATCCAAAGGCCGAAAGAGAGGTTACTGCTGGTGCGTTGATAAATACGGACAGCCGCTTCCTGGGTATGATGGGAAGGGAAAAGGAGATGTCCACTGCTACAACTTGGAAAGTAAATGAGGGCTGGGTGCCAGCTCTTCTGTCATCTGTGCGTGGCCGCTGGACCTCGCAGAGACCTCGGAGGGGCTGGGCAAACGCTGTGGACTGCATTGCATGTGGAGTAATGAGCTCTGCCTCCTGCAGTGGGTGGGGGATTGCAGCCTCTGCAGACGCGGTGGCAGCTGCACCCCGCCACCGACATGCTCTGGGCTCCCTGTGGGGACGGGTAGGGAG